TGGGACTCAGCTCCTTGCTGGGATCTGGACTTTGCCATGCGGAGCAGTTGTGTGAAATGTTGGCACTTTCCCCAAAATGCTGCCCATACCTGCCTTTTCCATTCTTGCATCTTTACAAAATGTATTTAAAATGAATTTTTAACTTCTTAAATGATGCTTGACTGTATTCAGCTCATGAAGATCGCAAGTGAGGCTCAACTGTTCATCCTCTAGCCCCCCAGTTTCTCATCCCCCGAAGCGTCCTCCTTCAGCGTCCTGGTGGAATCGCTTCTAGTCCTCCTCATCCTTATGATCATAAACACTCCTCCCACCCCGGCCCAGCCTTCAGATGAGGCAGCCCTGGAGGGGGCCTATGGGCTGACCACAATCTCATGAGAGACCCTGAGCCAGGACCACCTGGCTACGTCTGCTCCTGGATTTCTGACCACAGAAACCACAAGATAACTGTTGCATATTGCTTTAAGCTATTAATTTGGATGAATTTGTTATACAGCAATTACTAACCGATACACCCCGCATGTTACTTAGCCTAGCCCCCCTGGATGAATGCCGACATTGCAGCAGGGCTCAGCTGTGTCACGCACATGCCTGTTCACTCCATGGAGACACCCAGCCAGGACTACTGTATCGTAAGGGTGTACAGTCCAAACGTTCAACAGCTCGGGGTTACATTTAAAAGCTTCAGTTGGGGGGTGCCTGGGTGGCTCAGTGGGTTGAGCCTCTGCCTTGGGCTCAGGTCATGATCCCAGGGTCCTGGGATCGAGCCCCACATTGGGCTCTCTGTTCAGGGGGGAGCCTGCTTCCCCCTCTCTCTCTGCCTGCCTCTTTGCCTACTTGTGATCTCTCTGTCAAATAAATAAATAAAATCTTTTTTAAAAAAAGCTTCATTTGGAGTATTACAAATAAAAACTTGAACTACAGTCTAATACATTTGACTTTTAGCCACTACATAGCACAGGGAAGCAGGTGAGAGCCAGCCAGAGGGCCAGAGTCCCCTTCCTGTGGAGATGCCTCGGGCAGGCACTTAGCCTCTCTGGGCCTCGGTTTAGTAGTAACTGCTAGACCGGGACGGGGCTCTCATCAGGACCTCCCTAAGAGGGTGGTGGTGGGTTACATGAGTCGAGTCGCAGAAAACACCGCACCCCACCCCCTGCCCCACCCTGTGCTGTCCCCAGGAACTTTGTGCAGCAGTGGATGTGAAGCTCTCGAGCCCCTGAAATGGGGGTTCATTTGGCAAAGGAAGTGAATTTATAATTTTGTAGATCGATTTAACTGTCAACAGCCACATGCGGTCCGTGTATGACTCAGGCTTGAAACAATGCATGGCAAACCATAGGTGCTTAATAAATGCTTGGTAGGCATATTTCCCTGCCACATTATCTTCCAGCGTGCTGATCTGCATCCCAGCAGCAGCACAGAGGTCACCCCGGTGTCCTTCTCCAACGCCAGTCTGATGATGTCTCTCCCCTGCTCAAAGCCCTTCTGTGACTTCTCATTGTCCTTAAGATAATGGCCCAGATTGGTTAACCTCATTGCAGATACAACTTTTAGCACACTCTGGAATTACTTTTTCCTGCAGGGCTGGGATTTTGCCCACCTTCCTCCTTGCCTGGGGTCTTGGCAGAGTGGGGACGAGGTCCGGCACTTGGTAGCCGCTTAATCACCAGAGGCCCTCTGTAGCTGAGTCCCTCCCACCCTACATCTTCTTCTCCAGCCAGTGCTGCGTCTTAGCCGGACATCCAACCTCCACAACATCTCAGCCTCTGAACCGTTGGCCAGACTGTTCCTTCCATCCAGAAAACCCTTCCAGGTGGACTCAGACTCAGCTTCCCAGCTCCCACCCCAACTGGCCTCATTCTGCCTGAGGTGCTGGAGCAAGGTGCTTGCTGTCTCTGGGCCTCAGTTTCCTGAACTGCAAAATGGGATGAGTTATTGATAAGAATAAAAGATGCAGCTGTGGCCCAGTGGCCCACTGGGGATTAAGTGGCTCCTGGATGAGTGGCTGGTATCAGCATACACGTGGCCGTCCCCCCCATTCAGAGCCCCGCCCAGCCAGACCCTGCTCAGGGGGCCAGTGTCTCCAGCCCCACGTCGAATTTTTTTTTTTTTTTTTTAGAACTTCAAGGCCCCCTCATGAGCTGCACACAGTGTCATTTTTCCAGCCACAGTCATGTCACCTCTCCAGTGTCACCTCCTTCAGGCCTCACCTCTTCGGGACACTGCTGGGTCCTCAGCTACTTCAGGTCCAATGGGGGACTCCGTCCCGAGTCACTAGCATGGGTGGGGGTGCAGAGAGCGCGGCGGCTCCATTGGCAGCGCAGCAGCCCCGCCCCAGAAAACGCAGGCAGGTGCTCACACAAACACACCTGAGTAAAGTGGCGCGATTCACAATGGCCAAAAGGCAGCGACATCCGAAATGTGTGGGGATGGATGAATGCTTACACAAAACGTGGTCCATGCCCCCACGCGCACGTCCCGCGGCCGCGAACGGGGGGTGAGGCCCCCACGCGATGCCCGGGGTCGCACCCTGAGCCCACGACGCGCAGGGAAGGAACCAGACACAGGAGGTCATGCGGGGTGTGAGTCTACGCGTGTGACACGTCCAAACCAGGCTCCTCCACGGACAGGAAGGGGCTCGTGGGGGCTGGGTGGGGGGAGGGGGGAAGGTGACTGCTCATGGGGACGGGGTTGCTTTTGCGGGTCTGAATGTCCTGGAATTAAGCACACGTGGTGTCTGCACAACCTTGTAAATGTATTTAATGCCTCTGGATTGTACCTTTTAAAATGGTGATAATGGGGAATTTCATGTTCCGTGAATTCTACCTCGAATTAAAGAAAATGCATCTTTTAGAGCATCTCTCTCCTCTGGGGGCCACCTCCGTGAGGACAGAGACGAGGGCCACCAGGGATGGGAACACAGGAGGTGGTGGGTGGGTGTCTGTGGGATGAACAAGTGAGTGAACCTAGCGCCGCAGGAACCTGCTCTCCTGGAGAAGGACGAGTCCCCTCGCCTCTGCTTCTGGACGACTCAGAGGGAGTCTCGGTGTAGAAATATTCCCAGAATATCTCCTCCTGCATCCCCTAACCTGAAATCTGGGTTTTTCTCTTGCCCAGGCAACTCAGTGGGGCCAGACGCGCTCTATCGACGAGAGGTGGCGAATAAGGGAGGACCCGGTCCTTTAGCAAGTAAAACTTTTATTAAATAAACTTTCAGTTTCTCCAGACCAAAGAGAGGCATTTGGACATTGAAATGATGGTTGCAGCTTCTCACCTGAACACGCCACAGTGACAAGGACCTCTCCGGCCAGAAATCCAAACCAAGTCAACCCAAAGTTCCCTTTAAGTCCCTTTCTTGTCTTCCTCTTCTGTGTGTGTGTGTGTGTGTATGTGTATATATGTGTGTGTGTGTGTGTGTGTGGCGGTTTGTCTCCAAAAGTCAGTTTGCAAGTTGAAACTTCATGAAATTACTCGTAGCAGAAATAAAGTACATTGTACAAATCACGCAGGTCTTCGATGTGGAGTATAAAAATGGTATTTACAGCCAGTAAACATGGGCCAGGGGGACACACGCCACTGCACACCCACACGCACTCCCAAGCAGGCCCAGCGGAGGGCTTGGCGGGTGCCGGGGACACGCACGAGGCCCCCTCGTGGCCCCTGGGCACGCGCACGCAGACGCACGGGACACAGGCACGCTAGAGTGTCTCGGAACAATTATCAAACTCTGGAATATCGAAACAAGTTGGCCATTAAGACCTTTTTTTTTTTTTTTTTTGCAATGTGTTCTTTTTTGTTTTTTTTTGTTTTTGTATTTTGTTTTTTTTTTTTCTGGGTCAGTCAACACATTTTGGTAGAAACAAAAGGGAATGCTGTTTTTTTCTTTACAAATTTTTTTTCTTGAGCTTATTAAGTTCTTCGGCGCCTCACTTGGCAAGAGGCCCCAATGACGTCCAACGAACTTGACTCTGTGCTTCAAAGTGGGTTTTCACGGTTTGAGTAGCTATACAGAGATGCCCCGGAAGGACTTCCCTCCCCGCCCCGACTAGGGAACAAAAATCCAGTCATCTGATTTTTTTCCCCGTTTTGTTCTCTTTTCTTTGTATCTGCTCAGAAAGACCAAAATTAAAAAAAAAATATCTGTAGAGGTATTTCTGGTAAAGGGGTGCTGGGACGGTGCAGGTTGGCTTGTCCAACGCGCTTGGCAATCTTGGTCATGAGATCGTGAACTCCAGGCTGGTGATCCGAAGGCAGGGAGGGTGGCTGCCTGCCCTTGGGAGGGGGCAGGAGGGGTGGGGGGCTCCCCGGCCCCTGTCTGCCCCTGACGGAAAGCTAAGGGCTATTGGTCACATGAGTAAGGCTATGACGGGGGGGGGGGGAGAAGGGGGGGGTCTCTTTTGTGCCTACGTCGGGGAAGGCAGGGCCCTGGGGTGAGGGAGGGGTTGGGGGTCCGGAAGCTGCAGCTAAGACCAGGGACACTCAAGCTGGCTGAGCCCAAAGGCCTGCGAGAGCCGTCGACAGCGGGGCCCAGGGTCCTGGAGGTGTATCGCGTTGACGGCTGATTCCCAGTGCTTCTCGGCGCCCTGGTCTGACATGACAGCGGGAGATGGGGAGACACTGGGCGGCCCGGTCATCCTCAGCCCTTCTTATGTCCCTGCTGAGTGACCGGGCCAGGGTCACCTTCTCTTGGATGGAAGGAAGTCGGAAAAGTTTGGTCCCATGATCTATACTCAAAAAATATATATACTGTCTATAGCTCTCTATATATATATGCATATATATATATATAGGAAAAGTCGTGATTTACTTTGGGAGCCACCAAGGAGGGGGCAGTGAACCTCCTGGCTCCCAACTCAGAAGCCCCCTCCCCCCAGCACTGGGGCAGATCACAAAGCTCCCTCCCCGCTCCATGTGGCCTTTGTAGTGTTTCACATTAAGGAGGGTGGGCAAGGGGAGACGGGAGAGGAGAGGGAGGGCTGGTGTCCAAACTCGGTTGTAATTTACGGAAAAGTCCGGGATCGGTTGGAAGCGGGAAGCCCTCCTGGGGTGGGAAGGCCCCTCACCTGGCGGAGAAGGGAGGGGCGTTAGGGTGCGGTGATGGGGGGCCTACGACATCGCCTCCCATCTACACCCCCCTGCCCTGGCCAGGCTGGGTTCTGGGAACCCAAGGGCCCCTGTCCTTTCACAGAGAGTCCATTTCCAGATCCGGAGGCCAACAAACCGTCTGGGAAGGGACTTGGGGCCGCTGAGCCCATTTCCTCCCGCAACCTGGGGTCAAGAGTTGTGTTTATTCTTGTCTCCCCTGCCCCCTCGCTGCCACTGAAGCTCCACGGGGGCAGCTGCGCCTCCCAAGCCCCGCCCCGTGTCCGGTCATTCACCACTGGGGAGTGGCCCCAAGCGCGGGGAAGAGCGCCTAGCGCTTAGCAGGTGCTCAGTAAGGACTTGCTGTCCCAGAGCGTTCAGGTGCTTGGGGTATTAGTCGTCTGATCCCGGGACCGGATACCCGCGAATCTGGGGGTGCTGATTTGACAGTCGGAAAAGCATGCCCAGCCCCTAACTGAGCACCTACTTGGCGCCAGACCCCAGGCACGGCGCTTTGATGACCACGGCGCTTGTGATGGAGAAAAGAAAACCGAAACAAATGATCAAGAGCTTTCCAGGTGGTGGGTCCTGGGCTTGGTGGGGAAAACACCGCATCCCCAAGCGGATCCTCCCTGTCTCGGGAGGCGACTTTCACGAACCCATTCCACAGATGAGGCTCGTCAAGGCTTGTGGTCAGTTACGTTTCCCCACTGGCCCCTTAGGCTCACTGTTCCTTCCCCAGAGAAGGTGTTTAGTTGTTGATAAAGTTGTTCTCTCTGATGGCAAAATCCACTCTTGGGGGTGTGTCTGGGGGTACCTTTTTTGGGGGGGCAGGCTGGTGAGCAGGGCAAACATTCCGCTTTCTCACCAGCCCACAGAGCAGGAATTACACCAGAGAAGAATTAGGACCCCGGCCCAGCTGCGAGATTCACAGGACAGGACAGAAGCCCCTCCCCACAGCCCACCCCACCCCAGACCAAACCTGGCCTCTCAGGCGAACTTCTATTCATCCTTCAAAGCCTTCTTCTGGAAGGATTCCCCAACGACCCTCGGACCCTAGTTCCACCTTCCATCCCAGCCCCGACCAAAGGGGGGATGGGGGTGCTCTAGTCTAGCTCTGTCCACAGCAACCCAAGCTGGGGACCCCTCATGGCCTCCAGCAGCATCCCCGGGGGGCTGGGGAGGGTTCGGAGAATGAGGGGGTGTTTGGCCAAAACGGGGTGGGGGTGAGGGTGGGTGGGGCCGCCTGGCGGCTCACCTGGGCCAGGCCCGCAGCCTCCGGGCGGCTGTGGGCGCGGTCAGTAGGGGTGTCCCGGGTCTTTGGGCCGCTTCAGCTGCACCTTGAGCCTCTTCATGCCGATCTGAAAGCCGTTCATGGCCTGGATGGCGGTCTGCGCGCTGGCCGGGTTGTCAAAGCTCACGAAGCCTGCGGAGACCGGGGCGGACCCGCCATGGTGGGCAACGCGGGCGTCCTTTGCTTCCTGCAGTGTTGTGGCCCCAGCATCCCGGCTTGCGGGGTCCTGGGGGTGGGGCGGTGCGCTCGCAGGGGCAAGTGGGCCCGGGGAAGTAGGAGGGCGCACCACAGCACGCACAGCAGCCCGGCGCCTGGCTCTGACACCCTCTGGACTTGCATGCCTCCGGGGACGGGGTGCTTGCTTCCTTACCTGGGGTCTGCTCTGCTGAAGACTTCCCACGGGTGGAGGGAACAGGTGAGGCCCATGCGGGTCCCATGAGGGCTACATTCTCCCTCCCTCCCCATCCTGGCTGCCTGCCTCCTTCCAGGCCCTGGATGCTAACCCTTTGCCCTTCCGACACTGCTGTCCATCTGGGATCTTGACTATGGATAAGAGACTGTCTCTGCGTGAGTGTTCTTGTGTTGCTTCTCTCTGTCCTTCTCTCCCTCTTCCTGTCTCTGCCTTTTTTTTTTTTTTTAAGATTTTATTTATTTATCTGACAGACAGAGATCACAAGTAGGCAGAGAGGCAGGCAGAGAGAGAGGAGGAAGCAGACTCCCTGCTGAGCAGAGAGCCCGATGTGGGGCTCGATCCCAGGACCTTGAAATCATGACCTGAGCTGAAGGAAGAGGCTTAACCCACTGAGCCGCCCAGGCACCCCCTCTCTCTGCCTTTTATCTCTTTCTCTGTCTCTGTCTCCCTACCCCATACCCCATTCCCCCGCGACCCTGCCCCGCTTCCCCCAGGCCTTCAGAAACATCCTACTCTGCCATTCCTCAACCTTCCACCAGCCCCGATTCCCTCCACCTGCCACCCCAGGCCACCCTGCCCTACTCCTGCCCTCACCTCTTGGTCTTCGCAGGCTTCCCGGGAGGGTGTGGAGGCCACAGGGGCCAGGAGCCCCCTGGGGTAAAGGACTGCATGCCCAAGCATTTGAGGTGGGGATCCCCGAGCTCTGGGTGAGAGGCTGGGTTGGGGGTCAGGTGGAGAGAGAGTGGGGGCAGGGTTGAGCGGTCCTGCAGAGGTCCACTGGGGAGCCATGGGGGAATGTGGACCTCAGGGGATAAGGTCTTCACGTCTATCAGCTGCCCTAACACCTGCGCCCCCGCTACACTGATCAGGAAACCAAGGCTCAGGGAAGGCACAGGACTCCTCACTGTTGAGAGGGATTGAGTGGATTTTCCCCCATACGCCGCCTTCTTTGTCCCGCAAGTGGGATGCTGAGGAGGGGCCTGGGCACTGGCAGAGGACCCTGATCTGAGTGACCTCGAGTGCTGTTTGACCGCCCTGTGCCTCTCCTTCCTCCCTGGGTAAAATGGGGCTGCTCTTCCCTTTCATGGTTGGATACTGAGTATATACAGAAGGCACTGGCTACATAGGCAAGACTTGGCCTTTGGAATACAACAGGGTGAGATTAAGAGTCCACATTTCAGAGTCAAACGGACTGGTTCCAATCTGGGTTCTGCCTCTTTGCTGCTGTGTGAACTTGGAGGCCAAGGCCCTGTAGGACCACCCTGTCCCCTCCCTGGCCTTCCCTCCTCCCACCTTCCCCCTCACTCTGCTCCAGCCACGTGGGCCTCCTGGCTGGCCCTCCAACACACCAGGCATAGCTCTGCCCCAGGACCTTTGCATGTGTCTCTCCCTCTGCCCGGAACCTTGTACCCCAGACATTCTGGGGCTGGGAAATCTCATCGTTTGGGTTTCAGCTGAAACATTACCTCCTGCACACCGGCTTCTGGGTCCTTAGGAGCAGATGGTGACGGTGTTCTTCCTGCCATTCATAACCCCCTGACCGACGCCCTGCCTTGTTTATTTCCACCTCCCACCCGTAAGCTGGCCAGGGGTGGTCATTTAGATCTGGATTCCTTAAAACTAAAACTTTTATCTCTTTCTCTATCTCCTCTGTCTCTCTACCCCATCTCCCCGCCCCATCCTGCCCTGCTCCCCCCAGGCCATCAGAAACATCCTGCCGGTTGAACTGCCCCTCTGGAGGTGCCTGGAGCCACGCGGTGCTCATAGCTCAGACAGCAGAGGCGAGAACATCTCCACCAGTGGAGAAAATTCTGTTGGGCAGTGCGGCAAGACTGCAAGCTTAATAAGTGCTTAATAAGTGCTCACTCTAACTTCTAAATGTGATTCTCTTGGACCACACCTGTCTCCTAGCTGACCACGTCAACCACGCCCTCCCACGTCCGTGTTCCTGGCAGCGCGCGGGGTCAGGGGGACAGGGCTGGCCAGCAGGAAGGGCTGCCCGAAGCAGGTACTCACCAAAACATTTGCTCTGGTTGGTGGCCCGATCCATAAACACCTTGGAGGAGATGATATTGCCGAAGGGCAGGAACATCTGCGTCAGCTCCGTGTCTCCAAACTCCTGGGGGAGGTGGTAGATAAACAGGTTACAGCCTTCGGGACCTGCAGGTGGGGGAGAGAAAGACATAAAGCCCCCAAGGAGAGGAGGCGGACCCCCCCCCGGGGGGAGGGGCGCGGGACCGGAGCCCACCTCTGGCATCTCCAGCTGTTGGGGGAGGGTGCCCGTGACACCAGGAAGCAGGGCGTGGAGACGGCGCAGGGGAGGGGAGGCAGGGCATGCTTACCCTCGCCTTTCTAATCCCACACTTGGGTACCCTGAATCTCTGATTATCCTCAGGCCCCAGATAATTTACAAAACTCAGATGGTCCCTCCCCGCAAAACTGACATAAATCCCTCAATACCAGACCCTGGGTAGTCCCCAAATCCCAGACAACAGGAAACCCCAGAAAAAATCCCTAAACCCGGAAACGCCAGACCATTTACCACAGTGGATGAATTGTACGTGGGGTATGCGGACACTCTGTATATCTCTGCACTAATTCTGTAAATCTACCACTGGTTTTAAAATAAGATGTTCATGTCTTACAAGTCCGATGATCACAGAATAAGACAAGTCATTCCCCAGTCCCAAACCCCAATTATCGAGATAGTCTTCAAAACCGTGGATAATCCCCCAAGCCTTGAATAATTTTCAAGACTCAGATGACACACACATAAAAAAAAAAAAAACCTCAATTAAGGTAAAAAAAAATTCTGTAGACTCCAAGCCACCTGGTAATTTTATTACATTTTAATTTATTTTTAAGTAGGCTCCACGCCCAGTGTAGGGCTTCAACTCAGACTCCGAGATGGAGAGTTGTGTCCTCCACCGACTGAGCCGGCCAGGCACCCCTCCCTGCCTCCCCTCCATGTCCCCACCTGGGAATTTTTAAATGATATACTATACCAACCAAGAATAACTTCTTAAAATCACAGCTAACTCTCAAAACCATCCCCTCCCCAAAGAATACCCAATGGAGAGGTCGTAATGGCTACAAATAACAATGAAATTTTAAAACCTTCATTATCTGAAGCCATGAACAGTCACCAAACCTGCCCCTCATCCCAAACCAACAGATGACCTTCTCCCATGCCCCCCAAAACACGAACCCCCAAACCACCAAAAATCCCCCTCGGTCCGGAAGTCAGTATTCTCCATCCCAGGAAATAAAGATCTGGGATTACCCACTGACATCCAACCCTTATCTTCCTGGTTAGGACCACAGTTCTAAGAACGCTTGTTTTTAAAATGCAAGCGAGTTGCAACGTGATCGTCGCGACTGATGTGGATGGCGTGATTTTGACTGTGGCACCAACGTTACAGCCGCCAGAGCGCGATCCCATCTCCAAGAAACACGGGGTGAAGGCGGAAAGCCGCACCCAACTGAGGGGACCCCATGAGAAGACATCGCATGCGCACACACTCCCCACAGCACACACACAGCGGGACCACCCGGCTCCCCACGTGTGTCGTGAGCCACGCGCATCCCCGTCTGGAGTTACAACCCCCCTCTGACTTCAGACACGTCTCTCTCCACCGCGTGACAGCAGCCACACCCGCAACCCTTCTCATCAGTGCCACGTCCACGTGCAAGCTCGAGGTCTTTGCCAGGATAAAGGGCCACCCTGACCGTATTTTTTTAACCTGCTCATGGGCATGACGCTGTCTACCATTTTTATCAGGGCTCTATCTTTTCTTTGGCTTTGACGTGTCGCGGACAAAGGTCTGGAATGGTGCGAGCGGGAGTCCTGTAGATTGTCCCTCGAGGTGGGGACTCTCCAAAATGCTCATGGCGAGTGACAGCAGGGCTGATCACCACTGCACAAGCTCTGACCACCTCAGCCCTGGTGGAGGGAAGTTGGAGCAGGGACTGGGGAGGGAGACACCCAGGTCCGAGCCATCCACAAAACAGTGACCTGAGGCAGCGGGGCCCTCTCGGAAGCTCGTGCTGGCCTGCCCTGCGTGAGGGGTGCAGGGGGTGTTGGGAGGTCGCTGAAAGTCGCACAGGAGCTGCCAGCACCGTCAAATCCTCATGCCTGCCGTCTGCGACTTCACCCACTGAGCCCCAAGAGAAATAAAATCCGACGGAGGACGGAGTAGCGGCTGGTTGGCCCAGCTGGGGACCCTTCAGCCTAGAGTTCGTCTCGAAAGCTCAGCTCGTTTCCCGGCAGTGGCCCCCTGCCAAGGGCCAAGGACAAGGGCCAAGTGGGGCAGAGCCTCAAAGAACTCAGTCTGCAGGCCAGGACATCCACAGGGCTCCCCGGCCATGGGGCCAGTGGGTCACCTCTCCCCGACCCCCGCTAGCTGGATGGACAAGGGAAAGGGCCTCCCTGGTGCTGAGCCACACTGTGGGTCAGGAATGGCCTTGCCTCCTTCCCAGTAACGCCTCTTGACCCAGATGGTAGCTCCTGTTGCAGAGGAGGAAACTGAGGCAAGGCAGTGAGTGCTTTCCTTACCGTGCACAGCCAGACCTGGGTCGATCTGAATCCTGGTCTGTCGGACCCCAGAATCTAACTCCTTCCTCCTTCCACTTTACTGGGGAGCCTCAGTTTACCCGAGATATCCCACCACCACCCGCCACCCGCTCCCGACCTCAAGATGAGCGTCCTTTCCAAAAATTCAGAGGCTCGTCCGGTCCTGGGGAGGGCGGCTGGTGGTGGCAGGGTCACCCCTAGTCCCGCTAGTCCTATGGTTCCAACTTTCCAGAGGAGCGAGCCAAGGCTCCGAGAGGGTGATGCTGTTCCCCCAGAGCACCCAGGGGCCGCATCAGAAATCGAACCCAGGTCTGTCTGGCCCGCAGGCCGTGCTCTTGGCCGCGGTTCCCCGAGGTCCCGCGCCAGGCCAGGCCAGGCCATGGGTCCTGGAGGTCGAGGGGGCGGTAAGAGGGCGGGGCTGGCGCCCAGGGGAGGTCGCGGCCCCCTCACCTTCTCGCTGCTGCTGCTGCAGGAGGGGCGGCGGCTGGGGGACGCTGTGCGCGATGGGCGTGATGGCCGCGGTGGGGTACATGGCTGCGGAGACCGGGAGCGAGACAGGGCGGAGGCGGGTGTGAGGCCCGGGGAGGGGGGGTGGGGCCACGGCGGTCTTGGGAGGGAGGCGGGGCATGCCCGCGGTGGTGGGTGGGCCTAGGGGAGGGGCCAAGGCACAGGGAAGAGTGGGGCGGAGCCATGACTCGAGGGAGTGGGGCCAACGTCTGGAATCAAGGAGGGGGAGTGACCACAACCGAGGGCGGGCCTGAAGGAGGGGCCAAGGCCGCACAAGATCAGAGTGGGTGGGGCCAGACTGTGAGGGGCAGGGCCAAGGCTGAGGGCAGGGCCCTGGAGGACTCGGGACAGGATATGAGGGGCGGGACCAGACGCTGCGAGGGCCGAGGAGGGGTGGGGCCAAAACCTGGGAAAGGGCAGGGCCAGAAGTAGAAGGCGTGGCTAAGTACAAGAGAGAGGGCCAAACGAAAGGGCGGCCCCTGGGAGGCGGGGCCAGAAGCGGGGTGTTGCCAAGGGGGCGTGGCCAGATATGAAGGAAGGCGGGGCCGAGGGGCGGGGCCACGCCCGAGAGTGGGCCGGACTGCCCGCGTACCTGTGTACTGCTGGACTCCGGAGAAGGCGGGATGGAGGGTCTCGGCTACGGTCGGGCTCTGAGCTGCGGGGCAGACGGAAGGGCTGAGTGGGACGGGGGCGGCAGATCTTCCATCCACCCCTGATCCTTAGCGCCCGTAAGGAGAGCAACAAACATCCGCCCAGCTTCACCTCTGCATAAACGTTTTACAGGTATGGTCCCCATTTTACAGGTAGGAAAACTGAGGTTCACAGAGGTGAGGCAACCGGCTGAGGGCCACTCAGATAGGAAATGGTAGAAGTCGAACAGGGCTCCAGAGAGATTTAACCTTCACCCCCATCTCTCTGTCCCCATCCGGAACCCCTCGCTCTTCCCCTTTATTCTCCAGGACTTCAGGCCTCTGCTCCTGACCACCCCCCACCCCCATCCATTTCCCTCTCTCCCACCCCAAGCCTCACTCATCAGACACCCCGTGGATCCTCCATGTGGCTCTGACCTCCTGACTCTCAGGGCAGGAAGTAAGGGGAGGAGAGAGGTTGTCTAGACCACTAGAGCTGCTGCATCAGGGGGAAATTTCAGCCAAAAGATTCGGCTCGAACGGAGAGAGGTTACTACAGGATGGGTGTGTGTGTGTGGGGGGGTGACCATAAAGGGGTCACATGAATGAATCACCCCACGGAGATGGAGCATTGTGGTGGTGGTTATGCAAATCTCTGCCTGTGATAACACGGCACAGTGCCCCCACACACACGCACGAGTGCACACACAACATGGTACAGTGTCCATAAGGTGTCCAGCTCCTGTCGAGGTCATTGTACTGTACCAGTGTCAGCCTCCTGGTTTCGACAATGTGCTTGGTTATGTAAGCTGTTAGCATGGGTGGCGGGCCAGGCTGGAGGGACCAGGACCTCTCCGTACTACTTTTGAAACTCTCTGTGAGTTCCAGTCATTTCAAAATAAAAACAAATTCTCCTCAATGGTGGATATGCAGATGACTTACTTCACCCAAGCAAGGTGTTGGAGGAGGCTTGCCTGGGGATTGTGGTACAGGGTGGGGAGAGGTGGGACCTCGGCTCTGCAAAGGCAGGGCCCAGCCTAATTCGGTGCATGGCTAATACTGCATGGCTGGATGTAGGAGTGGATATGGGTCCTGATATCTTCCTCAATAGTGACGGTTAATAATTAAGATTGATGGTGCTGTTCTTGGTACAGACAGTGTGATAAGCATTCAACATGCTAATTTCATCAGTGCAACCTCATGAGATGACTGATGGCATCAGCCCATTTCCCAGGTGAGGAAACTGAGGTCCAGGGACTCACAGAGACCACCCGGGACAACCGAACTGAAGCTTGACCCCAGATATATCTGGATATAAAGTTCCCGTGTTTTAACCACCCTGCTATAGTCTCTTTCTCTGTGCCCACAGCTCATGTCTGTTGAGCTGACACTCCCTCTGGTTCCCAGGGACCATGGTATGGGAACGCCTGCTTGTCCCAGAGACACCCTCCCACCCCCCCCCCCCCCCCATGGGTCCCAGGGGACCATTCCAGTTACCTGGGTAGGGCACAAGGCCATTGGCATACACGGTCTCTAGGGCAGGGTGCCCCCCAGGGAAGGGCACAACCCCTGCGAAGCCATTGGTGATGGGAGCCACGAGCCCGGGCACGGCAGTGGTGCCAAGCAGCGGGGGTGAGTGCAGTCCTGCAGAACGGAGGAGCACCATGGGGAGCCTGAGCCTGGCCCTGGCCCTGGCCCTGCCCTGCCCACCCATCCTTAGGCCCCTGGCGGACTCTCACCAGAGGCAGGGGCGATGGGCGTGGCAGGCAGCCCGTTAAGGCTGACGGCGCCAATCTGCTGGATATGGCAGGGTGAGAAGGCCACGCCAGGGCTCAGGTAGCTGCCCGACGTGGACAGGACCGTTGTCTGCTGCTGCATGAGCTGGGGGTGGAAAGGGAGTCAGTGTGCACAATGGGGGTGGCACCTGCCCTAAGGTCATGACTCATGGGAGGAGGCCTGGTCCTCAAGTGACTTGAGTAGGGGAGGGGGTCAGCCTGGCTCTCTTGGCTCAGGCTGGGGTCAGGGCTTAGCTTGGAATTGGGGCTCAGTGTGGGATCAAGGCTCTGTCTAGGATCAGGGCTGAGTCAGGAATTTGGACTCGGTCTGGGATTGGGGATCAGCCAACACTGAGCTCAGCCAGGGCTGGGTCTCAGTGTGAAGTCAGCCTCGATTTAGAGGCTCCTTTTGGCTTGAAGGCCCCGCCTAGATTTAGGGCCTAAGCATGGAGTCGTGTCAGTCCAGAGTTGGGGTTCAGCTCGGGCCTCAGTTCATGGCTGGGGGCTCAGCTGGGGTGGGGGGGGGCTCAGGAATCAGCCTGGATCTGGGGACTCAACCATGACCAGGATAGGACCGTGAGTCAGAGAGTAGAAGAGACAGAAAGATGAGCAGAGAGGCAGAACCCCCAACAGAGCATGCATGGAGAGAGAGAGAGAGACTGAGCCGGACCCCCCCCCCCGAGTGGTGTGGGGAGCCCCGCTGGAGACAGAAGTGCAGCCGCTGGGGTCACTCACAGCCTGGGCGTAGGCACTGTAGGGGCTGAAGGGCAGGGTGAGGGATGGTGTCAGGATGCCCAGCTGCCCCACCATCTGCTGCATTCGCCGCAGGGTCCGCTCCTTGTCCGTGTCGGCGAACTTGACAACCAGGCTGGAGGAGGCACCCTGCAGGGGCAGCAGCAAGCAAGGAGGGAAAGAAGGAGGGAGGTAGCCAGGACTTTGGGGTTCGTGGAACCATGCCAGCTCTGGCCCTTGGGGGAGCACAGCGGCCAGTCCTGACCGTGGGCCCCGAGCTGCAGGACGTGGACGTCACAGCGAGAACAGCTTGGAGATCAGCATCCTGGGTCTCGCACTTGACTGTGTACAGCTGCCTGTGGGCACAGGTGGGGCCTCCCTGCCCAGGGGGCCCTGTCTAGGGCCCAGTAGAGGACCCTGACTATCAGCCATGCTCTCAAAAATGGAGAGTCCAACTGGTGGGACCCGGGTGGAGGACCCTAGAGCTGTCACTCACACCTGAGGACAGGTGAGACCCCAACCAGAGAGGGGACATGCTCCCTTTGCTGGAGAGCTTGCTCCCCGATGCGCCCCATCACTGGTCAGCTGCGAGCGTGGGAGAAAGCCTGACTTCCTGGTGAGCCCGAATCCTGCCTCCAGGGTCTACGACTGAGGCCCGAGTGCCCAGCGTGTGAGGCCTGGAGGCTCTGACGCTGCCCTGCTCCTCACACCCATTTGAGAGCAGCTGAGAGGGGAGATGGTTCTCTAGGGCCTGTGCCCCTTGTGGCAGATTCCACCTTTTCTGTACCGCGACTGTGGCTCCTGGCCCTTCCCCCGGGGGGCGGGGCTGCTCCCAGTGCTGAGCCTGTCCTCCGCCTCTCCCCGCCTCTCCCCGCCGCAGGCCTGCCCCCTACCCATCCCCGCTCTGGCCCAGGGGACATTTCCAACCGACCTGGCCCCTTCCCTGTGCTGTCAAAACCTTCCATGGCTCCTCATGACCCCGAGAACCCCGTGCTCCTCGATCGAGGGCTGCAGCCCCTCCCGCCCTCTCCCCTGCTCCTCTGTGCGCCCCACCCCCATCCTTGTCACGGCCCCCGCCCCACGTTCCCCTGCGGGCCTTCACAAAGCCACACCACCCCTCAGGTCCCGCCCCTCCAGGACACCCTCTTGTACACTCATACACACATGCACACACACACACACAAACTCACTCAGACACGAATAGTCAGATATGTGTGCACACATTTGCACGCACCATGCACGTCACACAGAGTTGCACACATGCATTCACACGGTACGTTCAGAGGCCCATATCACACGTGTACACATGCAATCACATACACGCATATTCACACACACCCTCGCCCATCCACACACACTCACATACGTGCCCTCATAGATGCCCACAGAAGCGTGCTGCGCTCGTTGCCCCCACATCAGCCAGGCGGACCCACACACTCACGTGCACTCAGTACACACGTGCATAAACACACATGTGCGCACACCTACATGCACGCTGCACAAGCCACTCAAACTCACCCGTTCGACACACTTACACGTGCAGCAGCATACACGTATCCATATTCTCACATACATACACCTCATTTGCACGTTAAGTCACCTACTAACAACCACACACACTCACATATCCTCTCTTACACACACACACGCAGCCACACACTGGCAGTACCTCCAGCACACTCCCACACGTACTTGCATGCTCACACACGCGTACGCTCCACACATGCACAATCGCACACTCACCTGCATACCTGTGCCCACACCACCATCAGGGACTCCGCCTCTCTCTCCGCCTGTGCCTTACTGATGAACAGCAAGTGGCTACGGGATGGCGGGAATGGTAGGGAGAGGTTTTGTCCCTGTCCCCTCCCCCCTTCCGCACGCCCAGCTCCGTGGCCCAGGGCGGTCCCTACTCACCGGCATGGTCTGGCTGCCGTGCAGGGCATGGATGGCTGCCTGGGCCTCGGTGTGGGAGGAGAACTTCACAAAGGCACAGCCTGCCCCAAGAGAAGGAGAACGCGTGAGGGGTAATAGGGTCTTTCTGGGTGGGGAGGGGCCACAGGTTAGGGGACTGGGAGCCCCGGGCAGCGGGTCAGACGGTCAGAAAGACAGCCAGCCAGTCATGTGTTCAGACAGACAGCTGGACAATAAAGGATCAGGCAATAAGAAGAGCACACAGAGTATGATGTCAGCCCGGTGGCCTCTCATTCGCTCAGAAAGCCACCAGCTACACAGGTGTTGGTGGCTCGCATGGTCAGACAGGCACCGTGAGGCAGTGTGCAGTCCGCGGGAGGGGCAGGTCCTGCCCACTGGAACAAGTGAAGGGCACGCGCTTAGGAAACACCCACCAGCCACCAGCCGCTGACACCGTGAGATCGAGTTGTAATCAGATATGCAGAGAGAAGGTGACAAACGTTCAGAGGCACTGACATACAGTCCTGTGGGCACACTCAGGCACAGATACATTCAGACCTAGACACATAGGCCCATGTGACCAGAGTTGGAAAGATGGGGACAGAAAATAAATAAATAAATACATACATATATACATACATACATACATACCAGACAGGTCAGACCCAGCCAGCTGGCCACACAGGAAGAAATCAGAAATCAGGCAGCCAAGCCAGCCAGGGACCACGAGACACAAGCAAATTCGGACACAGAGTCATAGAGAGACTACTAGATGTAGTTCCAGATGGGCATATTGTGGAAGAGCCAGGCAGACTGGGGGTGGGGTAGGACAATGGAATGTTCTAGAATTAGAGAGTGGCAATGGTTGCACAATTTCTTGAACATACTGGAAAGCACTTAACTGTACATTTTCAAAAGGTGGGTTTTACAGTATGTAAATATCAATTAAAAAAGAAAAGAGAGGTTCCTGGCTGGCTCAGTCAGTAGAGTATGCTACTCTTGATCTTGGAGTCATGAGTTTGAGCCCCACATTTGGTGTAGAGATGATTAAATAAACTTTAAAAAACATTTAGAAATAAAAATAATTAGAGAGAGAGAGACAAGCAACTAGGGACCACGGGATACATTCTGTCCTAGAAGATAAAAAGTTTCCAGGGCCAGAGACAGGCAGGGCAACAGTTGGTGCCTGACAGGTGAACCCCAAAAGGTAGAACAGGTAGACAGACAAAGACCTGCAGACACACGAAGAGCTAGGCAGAAATAGTCATTTAGACACTAAGGCAGAAAAAGTCAGAGACTAAAGACGCAGGTGGAGTGATGCCCTTCGCAGGCACAGTCACGTGGGCAGACAGGGAAACAGGTCTCTGCGGACCATGAAAGTCTTTCCCAGATGCTCAGCCAGGATCACGCAGACGGTCCACAGGAAACTGTCCCACGGTTAGGTGGGCACAGGCGGCGCGCGGGTAGGACCAGGCGGGAAAGGACCGTCTCCGCCCACACAGCCCACGCCTCCAGGAGCCAACCCCGCCTTCTCAAGTGCCCCGGCCCGCCCCCAGAAGCCAAACCCCGCCCCCCACATGCCTCGCCCCTCCCCAGAAGCTAGTCCCGCCTTCTCAAGCGCCTGGCCCCGCCCCCATTCCTGCCCCGCCCCAGAAGCAAACCCCACCTCCCAAGGGCCCTGCCGGGTCCCCAGGAGCCAAACCCGCTTGCTTGCTAGCTTGCTTTTTAAAAAAAATATATTTTATTTATTTATTTGAGAGAGAGAGACAGAGTGAGAAAGACCATGAGAGGGGAGGTCAGAGGGAGAAGCAGACTCCCCATGGAGCTGGAAGCCCGATGCGGGACTAGATCCCAGGACTCCGGGATCATGACCTGAGCCAAGGCAGGCCGCCAACCAACTGAGCCACCCACGTGCCCCCCAAACCCACTTTCTAAAGTGCTCGGCCTCACGCCCAGGAGCCAAACCCACCCTCCCACGTGCCCTGCCCCGCCCCAGAAGCCAGCCTCACCTTCTAAGGTGTCTGGCCCCACCCCCAGGAGCCAGCCCCGCCCACACACGTGCCAGGCCCCTCCCCCAGGAGCCAACCCCGCCCGCCCACGAGCCCCGCCCCACCCCAGAAGCCCACCTGGTTTTCTCAAGAGCCAAACCCGCCCTCCCACATCCCCAGGCCGCCCCAGAAGCCAACCCCACCTTCTCGAGGGCCTGGCCCCGCCCTCAGAAGCCGAACCCCCCCCCCCCTCCCCCCTGCCCCGCCCCGCCCCGGAAGGCAACCCCCCCTTCTCAAGGGTCTGGCCCCACCCCAGGAGGCAATCCCGCCTTCTCAAGCGCCCGGCCTCGGCCCGGGAACCAACCCCGCCCCGCCCCGTGCCAGGCCCCGCCCCCAGGAGCCAAAACCCTCCCCCCCGCGCGCCCAGCCCCGCCCCCGGCCGGTCACCTTTGCTGCTGCCGTCAGGCCCGCGCAGCACGGTGCACTCGTCGATGACCCCAAAGGGCTGGAACAGCCGCAGCACGTCCTCCTCCGACTGCTGCTTGTTCAGCATCCCCACGAACAGCTTCCGGTCTCCTGTGGGCGGAGACACCCCCTCAGCCGCGTCCTGGCCTCCGGGAATTTCTCGGTCCCTCCAGCAGAATGGAGGCAGCAGGGCGTGGGGGGAGCACGGCTGGCCCCTGCTCTGCCTGCGTGTGGGAGGACACAGCCGCGCGCTTCCCTGCTCTGGGCCTCTCCATCCTCCCACGTGCCATGCTCGGCTCATCTCCAAGCCTTGGCTCACGCGGCGGCCCCTCCTGGACGCCCTCCCTTCAACCCTTCAGGGCCTCCGACCGCTTCCCTGCTCCCACCCTCCGGGCGGAGATGTCTCTCTCCTTGCTCGCGGAGAGCCCATGCAGTACTAGTGTAAGAACTGCCTTGCCTGGCCTGGGTCCCTGTCTGTCTGTCTGTCTGCCTCTAGATTTCCCAGTGGGGGTGAGCGCTGATGGCCCCTTTACCCTCAGCAGGGGCCAGGCAGTCAATGTCTGTTGAATGAGTAAAGGCACCTGTGCGCACAGGACCAGGTGCGGGAAGCCTGCAGCCCCCATCTGCTGGGGTGGGGGTGGGGGTCTGGCTGGAGGCCTGGCTGGCCAGCCTCTCCCGCATGAGGCCCGAGAGTCCTGCTCCCTCTGGTAACTGGGCTGCTCCCCTGTAATCAGGAACATGGCAGCTTCATCTCCCAGGGATGGTGAGCTGGGTTACTATGGAAACCTGTTCTCTGGCAGCTGTCACTCATGGGGATGGAAGAGAGAGGCACAGACCAGAGAGACTGAGAGTCAGGGAAAGAGACAGATGAGAGAGAGAGACAGGGAGAAACACAGAGACAGCGACAGTCAGAGAGAGAGAGACAGTAAGAGACAAAGAGAGACACATAAAGAGTAGAGAGAGAACCAGAGAGACAGAAAGAGAAAAGATGGGAGAGAAAGAGGTATGGAGAGGGAGAAAGAGAAGTTGAGACAGAGAGAGACAGAAAGACAGACAGAAGGAGGAGGAGGAGAAGAAGAAGAAGAAGAGGAATTATTAAGAGTGAGAGAGAGAAGAGAAGAGATGGAGACATGCAGACCTCCCACCCCACCCCCACCCCGTCCCAATCCCTGACCTACACGAGCAGCCTGCTTGGAGACTGTGAAAACAGGTCCCAGCCCAGATGGGCTGTACCAGGCTCCTACACATACACAGGAGTCCTAACAGCCCTGCCCCACACACCACCCCGAAGGCTGGCTGCTCCCCCTCAGCCCCCAATCCACTTGAAGTGGGGAGGGGGTAGGAAAATCTCCAAGAACGGCTAGACTTGGGTGCCACTGGGGACAGCCAAGCATTCTCCTATGGTCACATCCCCAACACAGGCCAGACCTACGCAGACGCCAGGCCTCCAGCCCACATACCCACACGCCCAGCCCGGAACAGTCAGGCACTCAATCCTACACACACGCCCACACCCAGGCCAGGCATGCACACGTGCACACAGGCCAGCAGGAAGCCCCACCACATAAGCCACAGAAACACACGTGCACATGCGCCCTGCTCACACACATCTGCATACAGGCGTGCCAAGGTACTCATGCTCACATATACACAAACCCGCATGTGCACACACACGCAGTAATCCCCCTGAGGGGTCCCTTCAGGGATCCCAGCCCCTCTGCCTCAGAAGACCCCCCAGTATTGCACCCCATGGGCAGTGGGGCATTTTAAGATCTAGGGACAAGCAACTGGACCTAGCCAGCTGCCCCCCAACTCCTTCACTCCTAGGCCTGTGGCACTGTGGTTTGGAAGAGGGGACACACACCCCCTGCTCTCCTGCACCTACCCCTAGCCAGGAGACTCTGCCTCTCCCACCACCATGAGATATGTGAGAATAGAGGGGACAGCTACAGCCTTCTGATCAGGGATCCCCCCCACTTCCCCCACTCTTCTGCCACCCCCCAGCCTGGAGGCCACGGAGAGATGACAACTACCTCCGCGGCTTTCGCTGTCCGCCGGCTTCACCTGGATTGGCCGCGCCATCTGTGGAGAGAGAGGCGAGGAGGAGATCGAGGCTGACAGTGGGGACATCAGGGGTGAGGGCTTCACCTGAGCTCGGCCAGGCACCCTGCCCACCTCCCCGAGGCACAGCATCCCACCAACTTCCAGCAACAAACCAGTCAAACAAGTGACACATGGTCCCACCGACGGGGCTTTGCTCATTGCTGTCTGGAAAACTCTTACTTTACCTTCAAAACCCGTTCACAATATTTCTTGCTGTAGGAAGCCTCCTCGCCTTCCCAGTAGTAGGCTCTTTGCAAAGATGCCCAACACCTCTAGTCTCTGCATATTATGTGACTTTGCAGTTTTTCTCATCAAAAACTGGAGCCTGTTTCCCCAACTTTCTGTATCTGGACTTGGCTTTGTGACTTGCTCTGACCAGTGGAAGGTCATGGAAGGGAAGTGGTGGGAGTTCCAGGCTCTGGCCTTGAGAAACTTTGCAGCTTCCTCTTTTGGAAACCTGACATTGGGACAAGCCCAGGTGACAAGCCCAAGCAGAACAGGAAGACAGACCTCATGCCCTGAGAGGCCCCACTGCCAACAGCACATGGGAGTGAGGCTGGCCTGTCCCAGCTTATCCCGGCAAATCCTGTCCACCACTGCATGAATGACCCCAGGAGAAACCAGCAGAAGAACCACCCAGCTGAGCCCAGGCTGAGCTACTAACCTACAGAATCAACAAATAAAATGGTTGAGGTGTTTGTCACCCAGCAGTAACTGATACGAGGGCAGGTACTTTCAGTCAGCTCTCTGAGCCTTGGGTGTGAGGACTGTCATACCTGAGTGGACCAGCTTTCAATCTGGACTCCTTGTTCTGGACACTTCTGTTCTCCAACCTCCTGCCCCCCCAGCACTGAAAATGATGTTTAATGGAAGAAATCCTCCTCTAATCCCCACCCGCAAACTGACCCAGCCATAGGGGTGAGCTAACGTGGGTATTTGAGAAAAACTCAAGGGATGTGGGAAATGGGTGACATTGCTTCTCCACTGGTTTGAGAACAGAATCTCTCTCCAAGGCTCGTGGCTCCTGGTGAACTCCTATTCATCCTTCAAAACCCAGCTCAAATGTCCCCAAGCAGGCCATCTTTCCACCCCGCTGGGTTCCTTCCTCCCTCTGCCTCAGGGCAGGAAGTGTCTACATCTTGCTTTCTCAGAGCAGGCAGTTCTCCCCACACCAGGCAGGGAGAATCTGAGAGGCTTGCCAAATTGAATTGACCAGAAAGAAGTGGCCGGCACACGCCAGCATGGAAGGATGGCTGGGACGTCTGTGCCCGACCTGGGGTTGGAACGAGTGCCCGCCCCAGACCCCCTCCCAGGTCAGACCATCCCCATGGCCATTCAGAAAAGGTGCTTGAGGGATGTCAGCTTTCTAGACGCTGTGCAGACACCCAGCAAGCTCCGGAGAGAGGCTCAGTTTTGACCGGGCTTTACAGATGTCAACATCAAGGCCCAGACTCTTTGTCCAAGGTCACGGTGGGCGAGTCAAGGCGCTAAGCCTTCCTAGACTTAAAATTTAAGGATCTTTCTACCCAGTCCTATGAGTAGAGACCCCTCTCCAACTCTGAACCCCCAAATCTCCTTCTCCTTGTCTTAGACCCTATCTCAGTTCTGAGCCTCCCCACGCCATCGGAGGCCCCTCCCTCACTCTGCGCCCTCTTTCCCTGAGCCCCCGCCCCCTCCCCCTCTCCAGCTTCCCTACCCCATCTGCGCCCCTCCCATTCTGAGTGTTTGTTCCCCAGCTCCTCATGGGCTGCCTCAATTTGAACTCAGCCTTGGGAGCCCCAGAAGCAGAGAGGCCTTCCAGCGTCCCCAATTCCTGCCACCCAGCCACATCTTCAGAGGGACCCAGACCACCTGGGAAAGACCAAACCACGTCTCCCTCCCCCCACCACGTGTGTGTGTGTGTGCGCGCGCGCGCGCGCGCACACACACACACACACACACACACACACCCTCTCCACCTGGGTACCACACCCAGCTAGCTGGAGGCAGGAGCAGGGATTATTTTAACCAGATGGGACCAGTTTCTGGGCTGGGGGCAGACTGAGGTTGTGAAGGGAGGTGGGAGCAGTGGGGGCACCTGAGCTCCGGCCTCCTGCTCGCCCCCACCCCTCCCACCCCGCCTCCGCTGGCCCTCACCTCCTCCCTCCTCCCAGCACCTTGGGCAGATGAGGATGGGGTTGCCATGGCAACGCTGATTCACCACACGGAAGCTGGCAATTGTTGTTGCCATGGAAACCGCCTCTTAGGGGCGAGCCCAGCTCCTGCCTTGCACAAAAGAGATATTTAAATATAATCTTCTGGAGATGGATGAGCTGAGGGAGGGAGCGAGGGAGGGGGCCACGGGGAGGGAACCTGTCCCCATCACCGCACCCTCCACCCCCGCCCCTTTCTCGTGGCCTGGGTACCTGCGCCCCATCTCCCCCACCCGCTGCCGAGCCTGGGACCTTCCGCCTCCTCCTGGAAGACCCCTTCCCCCTCCCGGGTCAGCTCGGGCCCGGGCCAAGAGTCCCGGTGCGGTCCCGAGAAGCCAGGCGGGCAGTCCCCTCCTCCCCAGTCTCCCGCTCCAAAGCCGAGGCTCGGAGGCCTGGCCATCCGCACCCCGCGGCCCGCCTTACCCACCGGCCTGGAGACGCGCGCCAGGCTGGCCTCCACGTGCCGCCGCCCGCCCGGCCGGCCCTGGGCGCACAGGCGCGCACACGCCGCACGCACTCACCGGCCCCGCGCCTCGCTCCCCGAGCCCGAGCCCGACGCCCAGGCGGGCGCAGTCGATCCGCCAGCCAGAGGCCGGGAGGAGGCGTGCGGCACGGCGCGGCGCGGGGCGGGGGGGGGGGGGGGGGGGGGGTCTTGTTGGGGGGGGGGAAGCTGGGTCTCCCCACACCCACCCCTCCTGTCGACCCTGCCCGCCCATCTGGCTCTGCCCACCTCCTTCCGGCTCCCTCTCTCCATCTGTCCCACCGAGGTCTCTGCCTAGTGCCCTCCCTCCCTCCTCCACCTTCTCTGGCTCCCCATGGTTGCATCCCTTCCCTGCCCCCTCCCTCCCTCCTTTCATTTATTCAAGAACATTCCTGGTGTGCCCCATGCTGAGTAATTTTGCAGCCCCAAGGAGGACCCTCTCATCTGGCTTGAGGGGAGACAGAGGCAGATACAGACACTCCCAGACCTAAGCAGTCAGGATTGAGGCAGAGGTGGGGACAACCCCCTGGGAAACCCTAGAGCATAGAGCAGTGGAGAGCCAAAGGCTATCCTGGGACTTCACTGAAGATGGAAAGTCTGTAGGGGGTTTTGAAGTATGAGTAAGAGTTTGGTGGGGGGAGCAGTTTCTCACCTTGGAGGAATACCTACCTCCACCGACTCATTTAATCTCTAAACAACTTCATGAGATGGAAGCCTTCTTACTCTACAGATGGGCAAATCAGAAAGGGAACCGAGAAAATCAAAGCAGAGGCCCAATCTCCTGGTTTCCTCTGGGTCCAGCCAATCCTCCCGCCAAGGGGCCTGTGGGCCGGGGCTCTGGGGGAGCGTCTGTGTCTTTGGGATGGGCATGCTTTAGGTAGATGAGACCCAGTCCTTGCTCTGCCCCCCAGCCTTTGCTGGGTGACTTCAACCAAGCCACAAACCATCGAGAAACCAGGGTCCCTCATGTCTGAACTGTGTCTATTACGGATGGGGAAACCGAGGCCACTGGGGGAGGGATGGCAGGAGGTGTCTCCGGCGGTCAGGCTGGAGTCTCGAAGATGGTCCTTTAGAAGATACAAAGTTGTGCCTTTAGAGGACGTGGGGGCCCAGCAGAGGCCCCCGCTAGGTCATTTCCGGGTGGAAGGGAGGAGGAGAAAGCAAGGTGATGCCGGGGCCGCTACTGCAGCCTCCCCTTCGCCCTGCAGCCCCAGTGCCTAACACCCAGCCTCTCTGCCAAACAGACCACGCCACTGTCCGGCCCTAGGCGCTGCTGTGGCTCCTTCTGGCCTGGAGGTGGCATCCCGGCCTTCCTCCCCACTGGCCCCGAGTCCTGCAGGCTCCACGTGTCTGGGACAGTTCCTTCATTCACTCATTCCTTCATTCGTTCAGCATGGATCTGCCAAGCTCCCGCTGCGAGCTCAGCAGCGCGCCTTGTTCCCTCACAGGAGCCTCAAAGCCCTTCTGCAATCCCATTTCACAGACGAAGAAACTGAGACCCGGGAGGGTCAGAGCCCTGGACATTTGGCACCAGAGTCAGGTCATGGGATGTGGGAGGGGGTCTTGCAAGGGGGCCACTTTAGAAATCCCTGTGCGTATAGAAAGGGTTTCCAGGAGGGGTCTGTGGGGGGACCCCCAGCCAGCCAGACAAACTTAGCCCTTTCTGGGGTGCAGGGCAGACGCCAGATCCAGGATGTCCTTTGCCCCTCAAGACCCTCCCGAAGAAAGAGACGGTACCTGCGCTAGCGGCACAGCCTCTCAGAGACAGGGCTGGACCAGCCACCTGCCCCCCGCCTCACTGTCCCCACGGGCCTGTGCCATCTCCAGGAACCTCATCCTGGGGTTTGACAGCCCCACAAGAAGCGTCTGCTGCAATCTGAGTCCTCTGCCCGGCGTGGGTTCCAGGGGCCTGCGGTCCGTTCTGGGTTCTATTCTGGGATTCTGTTATTCAATTTAGGATCCTATTCCAGAATGCCGAGATTTGATTAAACCACATCCCCCACGGACGCCGCTGTCACACTCAGACATGGGAGCTGGAACTCGCTTCAGAAGCAGCATTTGTGGAGGGGGCTTGCCTGTCCCCTGCACTAGGGCAGGCACGGAGCCAGCCGATGACCCAGCGCACCCTCCCCTCCAGGTTTAGAAAGAGTAAAGAGACGCAAGTGTCCATTCCACCCTGTCCCCCCCCAACACACACACACGCACGTGGGTTTTTGAGGGGAGGCAGGGGACAGGAAGGATGGTGGCTGCCTTGGTCTCTCGCATGACCCCACTGTGGCCCCCTAACTCCCCAGGGTCCCTGTGCG